GTGGTGCCATGCTTGTCTCACAAGCGCACGGTCCTGAGTTCCATACCTGCTACTGGGAGAAAAAAAAAAAAGTTATATTTAAATACTAAACCAGCAGTCAAAACCATCCTTCTAATAGTAGTTGTTAGCAGCCTCAGCACCTGCTGCGCCCTGTCGTGTGTGGCCCTGGTGGCTGCAGGCACGCACCAACTCACAGTGGGTAAATTCACAGAGAAATATGAATGGATAGCAACAGAAAATGGTATTGGAACAGTGGGAGTCAGCAATTTTGCACAGGAAGCTTTGGGAGATATTGTGTTGAGACAAGATTGGAAAAGCAAGATGAATTCGGTGCTTTGGCAAGTGTAAACACTGCCAGTGAATTCTGTTCTTCTCCAGCAGGAGAAGTAACTGAAATTAATAAACCACTTGCAGAAACTCAAGGGCTGGCCAACAAATCTAGTTCTGAAGACGGTTGGTGGTTGGCTGTTAAAGATGACAGTGAGCACCCCTTCAGAATTAGATGAACTCCTGTCTGAAGAAGCATATGAGAAATGGGAAATGGCACCCTAAGCAAACTAGTGTGCAGTGGCTTCCCCCAGCATAGTTGTCTGAAATTAATAGTGGACAGAAGACTTAATGGCTTTTAGCAATAACATAGTAACAGAAAAGAAAATTCTCTTAACACTGCTATTGGAAGAAAATACCTGGTAACTTCCTAATGATTGCACAATGTGTTTCTTGTTTTATATACCTTGTGATTTTCAGACTAGGCTATTCATTCCGATATTCAGAATTACCCGTGGTAAACTAGTTTTAAAGGTTAGGTAATTTGGCTGGGCATAGTGGTACACACCTATAATCCCAGCACTCAGGAGGCAGAGGCTGGAATATCACTGCAAGTTCAAGGCCAGCATCGGCTACATAGTGAGTTCAAGGCTAGTCTGAACTTCATGGTGAGGCACTATCTCAAAAAAACAAAACACTATATATAATTCAGTATCATAAGCCTTATGTAATATTTGTAACTTGCTTACATTCCTCCCTGGATTTGGGTCAAAATACTTAAGATGATCTTCCCATTGGTAAGATCATTTGTTAGAAGTGGAGGCAAGGGTTAGTTATACAGTATCAGATGAAGAACAGGACTTTCTGATTTTTACAATGTATTACATTTGCTAGTGCTGCTTTTATACAGTGAAGCAACAGCTTTGCAGCACAATAAGAAAAGAATATTCAACTTTTTTAAAAAAATAGAATAAAATAAAATAGTGGTTGTTTAACATACCAGCTTAAATAGTTCTCTCAACTGAGTCACTCTTAAGGAAATAATCTGCCTTTTTTCTTTTTAATATTATGAAATTAGTACTTTATGACTAAAACATTTCATCAGTTAGAGTCCTATTTGATTGAGAATTACTGGAACTATTGAGCATTCCTGTACTGCTCTTTATTTTACCAAATAGCCCACTTCTCTTGTGACTATAAACATCTTACAGTTTCCCGTCCTTTTGAAAATGCCTGAAAGTCCTCACAGAGAAATCAGAGTGGGGCTTACTCTGCTTTCAGCTGACTTTCCCCCTACATAGAAAACAGTGGTTGTATAAGAAAAAACCTTTTAGATTTTCCATAGCATATTTTATCTTTAAGAAACTTTATTAAATTACATGTATAATGGCAATTGAAATACATTTAATTCTAGAATAGAGCATAATTGATTATATTTTTAAACTTTAATAATGTCCTCAGCTTTCAAATAAACCATGATATTTGAGGTTGAAATCACAGGGTTTTTAAATCTGCCCAAGCATCCCCTGCCCTATTCCTATATAAAGTCAAATGGAAAAAGAAGAGTTTAGGTCAGTGGTGGTGAACTTAATGGGACTCATACTACAGTGGGCTGTTTGTATCATTGAAAGCTCTAAAAGATTGACCATCACTGGTTTAGTTTAATCACAGCCATAAAGGAGGGTGAAAGAAATACTACATTTTATCCTCTATTTGATTTTTCAGTTAAAATTAATATATGAAGATTTTCAAAAATCACATGGAAGAGCCTTCAGTTCATGCACGATGGTTGGGTGTTCACGCCATATGCATGAGATGTGCCTCCCTCAAACCTTATTACAACGTCGGCACATTACCCACCTGACGTAAGAAGAAAAATCACAAGGAATATCAAGTGTTTTACTTGAAATAATGTCACCCAAGTAGAGCTGCTCCTCACTTCAAGCAAAATAGGGTGGAAGGTGAAATCTACAGATTTCCAGATATGCAAAAAAGATAATTTTTTTTTCCATACAAGCAGAGCCATCACCTATTATTCTTATCTTTTCTTTAAATTTTTCTACAATTTCAGAGACAGTTATAAAAAGTTTTATTGATTCCTAAACTGTGAATTCCTTTTGTCTCCCCCACCCACCCACTCAGAATCTGATTTTTTTTTTTTAAGTGCATTTAGAAGAAGTAGACTTTTGGTAAGACGAGCTTTAGTGTTTGGTTTACTTCTATTTGATTCTGAATTTGTTGATAAGATTTTCTTTTTTGAGGATTGTTTTTATTTTTAAAACTGTTAAATTTGTGGGGTGGAACACCTCAACAAAAATGAAGTATCTAAAAAAAAAAATGAAGTATCTAAATCTCACTTTCCTGTTGGCTTCCTTTGATGAAATATAGATTCTGCTAGATACAATCACAACTCAAGAATATTGCAAATCACTTGAAAGAATTTTATTAAAATACTGAAAATAACCTTAAGACCATAAAATACTTAAACTATAAGCAACAGTGGTGACAATGTTTATATACAGAGTCTGTCCAAAAAAAATGTATACAAGGGCTGGGGATTTGGCTCTGTGGCACCATGCCATGCCTGTCTGGCAAGCACAAGGTCCTGAGTTTGATTCCCGGTACCATAAAATAAAGATTTCTTTAAAAAACAAATGTGCACACACTTCAGGAAAAAAAATTGTATAAATATTTTCAAACGAAATTATTGAGACATCATGAGATTAATACAAGTTACTTTTGGCCTCTACAATTGCATAAGATGCTCAAAGTGGTGCCCATTAGCTTCTGGGCGTTTATTAGTATGATAAACAGCTGCTTGGGTAACCTTGGTCATTAAGATTGCTGCACTTGCATTTTCAGCTTTTTCTCTAAGTGCCAGCAGTATAGTGGGTTTCCTGTGATATATAACATCTTCTATGGTCCCCCATATGAGGGTAACACCATCTGTTGAAAAAAATCATACTATTTTTCTTTTCCTCAAGTGTATATACATTTTTTGGCAGATTCTCTTTCCACAGTCTCTGTTAACATGGTAACTTCCTATGATTATTTTCTGAAGATTTACTCGCTGGGGTCTTAGCAGTTGTGCTTTTTTTGGTGCCAAACTCTCTACCTTTTAACTTTTTTTTTTTTTTTTTTGGTACCAGGCATTGAACTCGGGACCTTGCACTTGCAAGGCAGGTGCTGGAACCACTGAGCTAAATCCCTGGCCCTACCTTTTAACTTTTAACTAGATTCTTTTACACTATGTTGATCTTTTGACTCAACAGTAGGTTAGTTAATTAACAGTAGGTTAATTGTTTGTTAAAAGTAATCCTTGGCTGGAAAGAGATCATATGACTGTCTGCAGTCTAATTAATAATTATGTTCAGAGTGGGAAAACAAGTCTTAATAATTAAAGGTTTTTTAGGAGCTTCTTATCTTTGGCTTTCAAGTCAGCACCTAGGTAGCATTCCAGTTCCAGGCTTTTCTAGTTTTGTGATCTTGGGCAAGTTATTTGACTACTGTAGACCCCCACCTTGCTCATCTATAAAATGAAGATAGGTAATAGCATCTGCATCATGGGGTTATTATGAGATTAGAGGAGAATGTGTATACAGTGATGGCATGTGTCAGGCACTCACAGTTGCTACTGTTATCAACATGCAAATTTTAGGATTCAACCAGCCAGTCATTAGCAATCTGTTGTGTATTGGGATGTGATGACACTCCATAGCAACCAGTTGGAGGGCCGGGGATTTAGCTCAGTAGTTTCACCGCCTGCTGCACAAGCGCAAGGACCCGAGTTCGATCCCCGGTACCAAAAAAAACAAGCAACCAGTTGGAGTCTAATAGCATCGAAAATTGGATAGGTTATTCCTAGATTAGTGTTTTCATATAAGTGATTGCTTGGAGGCTCATCGGAAATTGCTGTTAAAATGTTATGACTAAATTCTGATAGTTTTCAGTTACTAACCAACCCCCAGAATTTAACTGTAGCGTGCATAAGAACAGATACTGGTCTTTAATTATAAGTGGAAAATGTGGACAAGATAGTAAATGAAAACTAATGCCATGAAGCTCCCAAATTCAGTAAGCTACCCCAAAGGAACTTTGTGGCTTAAATAATTCTTTATGCAGAGAATTCTTTTCAGTGACATGTGCCTAGATTGACTTTTTGGTTGTTGGAAAGGTGAATTTTAACTAGAAAAGGGAGATGGGGTATACGTAGGTCTTTTTTTTTTACGTAAGTCATTTGAACTCGTAATTTTATCTTTTGTAAAGTGAGGATAATTCCTGCTTCTCCCTTCCTGATAGTGGCATTATAATAATATAAGAGCTGAAAGTGAATGGATAATTTAGAGAGAAAAGTATTCTATAATTTGGCATTACTCTTGTACAGTTTATTAGAACTTTTGTTCATTATGAAACAGTTTTCAGCTTGATCCAAAGTATAACACATAAAATTCAGCTGAGAAATTATCTGCAGAGTTGGTATTTCGTTAATATAGCTGAACCATTTATATATGTGTGTGTGTGTGCATGTGTATATATGTTTGTATATATACATTTATATATATATTTACATACATATTTGTGTTCTTTTATGAGTTTCAGTCATTTGGGGTTTAAACTATTGCTGATGTTCTAGATTTGTAATATAAAACTAGTCACCTTTCAGTGAGGTTCAAATCAGGCTTTTGAAAGTTGAGATAACTCTTTTAAAATTAGCTTTTGTCCTCCCTCCACAGGAGAATTTGCAGCCTTCAAGTAGCCACACCATCATGGCAGCATCTACTCTTTACTTAAGTCTTGTGTTCATACAGTTCGTTAACATCAAAACACAGTTCTGTTCCTCACATCTTTTTTTAAAGATACAAAATTTTCAATGCATAAGCTGGTATGGAACAGAATGGAATTTCCTGTCCATCAAAAGAGGAAAGAATGTTTTAGAAACCAGAATTCTCTGCTGCCAGAGTTTCTTCTTCAACACAGATACCACGTGCATACAAGTCTGCCCACTCCTGGGAAGAAAGAGGAGAGACCCTGAATTCTGACCTTTTGATGGTCAGGCATGATGGAAAGAAACTGCTGCTACAGCTTGGGAGATTTGCTATGGAAAGTCTGCCGGTCAACTTTGTCCTTCTAACTGCCAGATCAATTTGTGGCTGATCATCTGATGGGGCAGTTTCAATCACCAAGCACCGTTCTCTTTGCTGTTCTGGGATGTTGTTGTGGAGCTCTTTCCCCTAGCCACTACTGGTTAATTAATTTCTGAGGGATGGAACCAAAATGCAGCATACCCATTCTGCATGTCACATGGTTAGTCCTTGACAGATTTTCTCACAGTGAAGTTCTCGTATTTAAAAGTAGGATGAGGCTCACAAGCGCAAGGACCCGAGTTCGATCCCCGGTACCAAAAAAAAAAAAAAAAAAGGAGGGTGAGGGGCGAGGAGCATGTGGGGCAGAAGGCGAGGGAATGCTGCATCTTCTTCCTGACCTCCCTAGTCTCTGGCCTCTGGTTGCCTTGTTCCCTGAGCTCTGCCTAACCACACAGGCTGGACAGTGCTGGCACACATCGCCTTCTTTTTTCACTGGGTCCAGCAATGAAGATAAGGGTTGGGGATTCATTTCCTCCACTATGTAGCAAATTCTCAGGAAAATACAGTCTAAATCTTCCTCTGAGCTCTTCCAGTCACCAAGTACTTACATGGCTACTTTGTCCAGGGCATCAAATGCCATGGATAGTATCTAATTAGAAGCCTACAAAACTGCTTAATAATAGTTTTGAATGTGAGAAAATTATGTAATTTAAATGTAAGGTACAGATTTCATTTCTGAGTTTCTTCTATTTTTATTAAAAGGAAAATAATTTTCAGATTTAATTAAATTGGAATACAGTAATATTTCCCACCAGAATTATATGTCCTTAAAATTGTATTTTTGTTATATAATCAACTTTTAAAGGAAGATCACTACCCCTTTCTGTACATAAATAGGGGATATCTTAGCATAATGACAAATATTTATAATTTTTAAATTAATGGTACTTGCTGGATCCACACTAACATCTTTGCTAACAATCTCATTGTTTCTTCCAACTTATTCCTACACTACATCCTACATCTTCTTTCTAGTCTTTTATCTAGAATATGCAACCTAAAATAAAAATGGTGGTGTCTCCATTCATTCTCTTCCTTTTTTCCCAAGCCTGGTCTTCAAAAGGTTGGGTAAAGTGGCAGCTGAGTTCCCCAGGTAGAGAACAGAAATGTTAAGGATATTGGGGCTGAGGGAGGTGTGTGAAAGCCTGTCATCAGTTGTTTGTGTAGAAAGCTGCTGTGGTGTTGAAAAGCAAAATCCATCCCATCTTTGTACAGATGGAAAATAGAACCTAGTCATAGCTTCCCTTGGGCTTATTAAAGGATATCATAAATCACAGTAGTAGCAAAGAAAGTGACTAGATGTACTAATGGCAAATTAATGGCAAATATCTCCCTTATCAGGAGTCTAGAATCTCATTTATTGGGATTTAGGAATGGAAATCAAATGAGATGACCTTAACCCAACTAAGCTACAGCCAAAAATCTGAAAGAAATTCAGCAGGACCTAAAATAAATCAGAGAATAAGAAATTGTTATTTAAACGTCTCAAATTCTAACCCTGGCCCCACTATCTGTCCTGGCCCTCTTGCTACCTACTCACTACCCTTAAGTGATTTTTGCTAAAATACCTGTCATCAGAGGATGGCTTAGTGATAATTGTGTTTTTAACTCTTACATGAACATAGTCATGTCTTACAAAATTTAGAAACAGCAAAGATGGGAATGATTCGTGCTGATACAAAAAGCATTTCCTGTGCATATCATTCATGCTGCCTCTTTTTGAAAAGCATTGGTCATTTGTTCTTTTAAAATGCAGTTCTGTAGATGCTTTTAAAGATGACTGGGTTCCCTTTACCAGGATTGACTTAGATCTCAGATCCAGCTGCAGAGAGCAGGGCTTGAACCCCAGACATGTGTTCAGGTCCTGTTGAGGACCACTCTAGATTAGCATTAGAGTTTTCTAAACAAATACAGATGATATACTTTTTTTCTTGCTTTCGTTTTAGAATAAGTTGCTACTTCATTTGAAAAGAGGGAGCAGACTTGATAGTAGGCAAAACTGTTCAGAAGCTAGCCTCAGGGTATTAAGAGATTTTATAGAGAATTTTTTAAATAGAAATTAATAAAATGTTTAAACTTTTATTTCCCATCAAATAGTTTTGTTTTTCTATTTACAAATGACAAGAAAAGAGGTTTCCTTTTAAGTTTTATTTGCTTTATTTTTTGATGCTTAGACTACGGAAAGACTTGTTGAGCTCCTAAGAAAGTGCAAGGAAGAAGTCCTTGTTTGTGCAAAGCACTTTATGAGTAAATTGTATACACAGTGTGTGGCTGCTTCACCGATCACCTTGTCTTGCTGTACTTGTCAGTTTTGTCTGGAAAGTGGTTGCAGTGCCTTCTCCTGTGTGTTTTATTTTTGCTAGGGAGAGTGAAGCCTTCTGAAAAATTTGAGAGCAACAGTAGAAGATGGTTTTTAAATATGTAATATTCCTCCTGATGGACTTTTTTCATCATTAAACTAGAGTCAAGGACTCAGACTTTTTTTTTTTTAATTTGAGACAGGGTCTGACTATGTTGTTCAGGATGGCCTTGAACTCATAGTGATCCTCTTGCCTCAGCCTCTTAAGTGCTGGGATTACAGGTGTGCACCACCATGCCCAGCAAAGACTCAGACTTGCCACTGAAATAATATTAGGTGTTATTTTTTGTTTGTTTGTTTGTTTGTTTCGGTACCGGGGATGGAACTCATGACCTTGCGCTTGAGAGGCAGGCACCAGAACCACTGAGCTAAATCCCCGGCCCACCACTGAAATAATATTGACCAAAAAAAAAGTAGTATATAAAAGAATTGTGAATAGAAAATCCAATGTGATCCTTTATATTTATGTGCACCTTAAAAGAAGATTCTGTGTAGCTGTAAAGTACTGGTTCCTGAACCTCTCATCCCTGATTGTATTTGAGGTCTTGTAGGACATACTGGGACATCCTAGAAAGTAAAGTCCCGTCTGAATCCCATGTTATATTTATGTTGATGTTGGAGAAGAAAGAGCATAATGTAAAGATCATTCAAGACTTGAACACTGTCAGCCTGAAACTTTGTGAATACTCCCTCCTTCCCATTGGGTGCAGTTGTGGCGCTTGGTGTTCATCAGGCAGAATGGGAGCTCCTGTGCCCCTCCTCAGACTCACTGTCCCCATGGCCCAGCCACCTCGCCAGCCTCTGCAAACCACTGCATCTAGCTTTAGTGTGAAACACATTGCAGGGTTCAGGTGACCTCTCCAAAAAACTACCTCCTCAGAATGAGGTAATGAATAGTTATTTATTTTAAAATATGAACAGTCGGGAGCTCTAGAACATGAAGATGATTTAAGATTTTATGTATATTTGTATTTGAGCACTCTCATTTTGTCCTAAAGGGCATTGTACATTTAAGCAGTAATACTAAGAAAAAAACAAAAAGTGTAGCTCAGAGTATGTGAATGTTATTGGAAGCGGTGCCAGAAGCTGTTTAGGGTTTCATTTCAGAATCTTAACCTGAACTCAGTTGCATGAAATTACAAGGTTATGGTATCACTTCACTATCAGTGATGTAATTTTAATTTTCAGTAGACTTGGCAAGACAGTACATCTTCATAATGAGTTAGCAATGGCTCCGTCACATGCACAGATGCTCATACAGAGAGACTGCCCAGCTAAAGGGGTAGGATGAGCACCCTGCTTGCAAGACTCTCTCCTTTGTCCAGGTTGGTGTCCTTACTGCTAGAATGAATATCAGCACCTTGAATTATCAGGTGTCAACCACTAGGCTACCCAGAACCACAGCCAGCACTGGAAGATGTGAGTATGAACAGTGAGTAATGTACAGGTCATGCCGCAAAATGGTGGAGGGGAGGCTCTAAAAAATACCGTGACAATTTGCCAAATGATCTTACTACTGTGCCTTCATGATGCAATAAAAAAGCTAAAATTTTAGTAGAAATCAGTGATTTATGAAGAGAGCAGCCACTCTGGCTTAACTCAGCTGTGTTAATATTTTTTTAGAGTGCAATTTAGACTGCAAAGATAAATGCACTAAAGAGTTTATAGCCAAAATCACATTTAAAAATGAGAAAACAGGTAAATTTTCAGTGAACAAATTATTTTTTTAAAGCACATAAATCCCTAGTATAGTCATATATTTATCACGTAGAGCAACTAGGTTGAAAATATAGTTCAGTGACATTTCTAGAGAAACTTTTTCTACTCCCATAGGCTCTTCAAAGCATGGAACTTTTATACAACAGAAATGTTTGAGACATTTTAAGAAACTGCTGTAGTGTAGTGTTAAGTACTGTATGCTGGGCAGCAATCAGGTGTATAGACTTAGGAGAAATTAAAATATAGGACAGAATTTGATTTGATCTGTTTCCAGAGTACTGCTGCCAACCTAGACACTGATTTTTCAGAGTTTGAAATGTAAACTTGCTTGCCAGGACTTGTTCACAAATGAAGCAGGACGGTGCTACTGACTGTGCTCTGGTGCACAGTGGGGGTGGAGGAGGGGATCTCTGGAGGGCTCCTTTGCAAGGGGCCATTGAAATCGTGGCGGCCTGGCCAATGTGTGTGAGACGGAACGTGCTTCCTGAATCATGCCACGCCACCCCAAGATCGTGCACTGTCCCCAGCTCAGACTGTGGCTGTTTCACTGAGTACTCAGGTGAATCACTGAGGCCCAGGAAGGGTGGTAACATCTCTGCCCACAGAGGTCTGTAGATGGGCCAGAGAGTAAAGTGGCCTAAGTGTCTGAGGTCTCTGCTTCTGGCTCTGGTCAAGTTGAAAACCCTGTGAACATGTTTGTGATAGCAGTATGCTAGACAGTAAGCTTTGTTTTCAGCTAATTTATTTTCACTTCTATTTAGACACATGTAAATTGAAACTCGGTCCTAATTTTTGTTAATTGTGGAAAGAATAATAGTTTCTATCTGGTATTTTTAAGGTAGAAGAGTGCAAAATCCAAAGTCTTAAGAACAAAACATACATCATAGGGACACTTAATCACAACCTCAATAAAGTGATTAAGATAGAACTTTTATTTCAGCATCCACAATTTCAACTGTTTAGTTGTGGTTTTGTTTGTTTGTTTGGTTTGGTTTGGTTTGGTTTGGTTTTTTTGAGACAGAGTCTCGCTATGTAGTTTGGGCTGGCCTTGAACTCACTGTGTAGCCCAGGCTGGCCTTGAACACCTGGCAATCTTCCTGCCTCAACCTCCTTAGTGCTGGGATCACAGGCTTGTGCCACCACACCCAGCTGTTTATTTTATAAATTACTAAGTCAGTTTCACTAAAATGTTTACTTCTATTTAGCTGTTTTGCCTAATTGCAGTGATAAATTGTGCATGAGGATACACCCAGTGTATTGTTTTTTGTGATGCATTTTTCAGTAAAGAATTCTGTAAATTGAAGTACTCTTTGAAAACAGAACTGAAATATATTTATTCGTGTTGGTATCAAAAAGTTTTTTTATGCAGACCATTTGTTTCTCCTGGAAGGCTGAGTACATTGTCCAGCACCCATGATGATTGGTTCCCACTGGCAGTGTGGACACAGGGGAGTTGGGCAGGAAATGTATGAAGCAGTGGTCAAGAGTTGGTTGACAGGACTGGAGTAGGGATCATGAGGACATTGTTTACTCTTGGTTTGCTTTGGAAGTCAGTCTCTTACATTTGTGTGCTAAGCCTTTTTGAACCCATGTGTGTTTGGGCAGGGTATGAGCTACATAGGAAGAAACTGCAGACTTAACATAAGCAACAGACTCAAAAGATTAGCACAGATGGAGAGGAAATGGACCAAAATGAGTTGTACTAACAGTTAAGTCTGGGGGTTAGGGAAAAACTAATGGGGGTGGGAAATAATAATTATTTGAAATAAAATATGAGTGCAATAAGTGTGCTTTTTATTCTAAGCTGTGAACAGGTTTTTTTAAAATCATTCCTTCCTAATACACTTGTGTATCATAGCTGATTAAAACCAGCTATGTAAACATACACCTTTTTATTCATGTTAATTACCAACATCAGTGGCTAATCTTTATGTCTTATTTATCTTCATGTTACATTAGTTTACATACCAGGAAGAGAAAGTGTGTGTGTGTGTGTGTGTGTGTGTGTGTGTGTCTATGCATGTATGTGCATACAGGCTGTGCCCTTTTCCTTCCTGTATTTTAAAACGCATTCATTGGATCCTGTGTCTCCTTTGGTTGTGCCACATGGTACAGCCTTGGTCTGCCCTTTACAGTGTCACCTGTGTGAAGGACTATCACAGTAACACATTTGTGATCATCCCACTTGTTGAGTGTACATCTCACCCTTTTCGTCATTCAGCAGTTTCTGCTTCTCCTATGATAGGATTGTATAACTCGTCAGGAGGTTGATTTTACCATTCATCAACTAATGTCTCTGAATTCTATTCAGTGGTTGTGAATGCTCTTTGGTTCAGACCAAGGAAAAGGAAATCCCTCCCCTCTTTCATATACTTCTTGGTTTAAGGACAAGTCTCCTACAAGGGAGAGGAAAGGGAAATGCTTCACGTTGGAACTGTAGTGAATTAATGGCTCCTGTCCATCACTCCGAACCTCACAGCACCTCACATACACATTCCTTTTGTCTAACTGCCGAAGGTTCAGGTTTAGTTCACTTCAGTTCCACTCAAGCATTGAAAGGGTTCTCATGGACCCTGGGTGTACCCAGTGGACAGGTGAGGACTTTTTCATTGTCCAAGACCTCTCTTTACCTGCTTTGCAAAAACAATGGAGTAACTATTTTTAAAGCTTATTTTTCAATTCATAAGAAAAAGACATTTATTTTCAGTCAAATGGATAATGTCTCCCTCCTATCCCTTAATCCTCAATGTTTGCTTGAATCTTTTTTTTAATTCTTCCCCATACCAATTTCCTGATACTTTGGTTCTCTTTCCTGCTCAGGTCCCTTCATTTGTACTTTGGAGTTTTTCTCATGTAAATTTGTATAATGGAAAATATTGTTAAGTTTGGATAGAAAGCATGGAGAATTAAAAAAGATAGCTGAAAATCAGAGTGAAGAAAATTATTTGTGTAAAGTTATTTAAAAACTGTATTATATAAAAGGCAAAAAAGTTCTATGTACTTGATGTGAATATGCGAATATTGCTATAATAAAGATTGCATGGAGAAGTCTTTATCAAGATTATTTTTGTAGCATTTATATTCAATTAACAGAAGTAGTCAGTGGTTTTAACAGTCATTTCTCCCAGGCAATAGAGACTGGGAAATGTACATTTGTGTTTCCTGTGTCATGTTGATTACTGTTGGTGGGAGAGGTAGAAGTTGTCAAGATTCCCACGTGGGCCATTACACAAAACATCCAAGCTTGTCATGGTAAGTCTTTTGTCCTGTCTTAGTGTCCTGTGTTAGGTATTTTAAGATGTTGTGACCTTATGTATCTTTAGTTTAAAATGAGCACTCTCCTCTTCAAAAACACAATTGAAGTGTGTGTGCTCTAATTTAGTAAATTTAAACATGTTTATCTGTAATAATTCACCTTAGTTGTTTTGATGTAACAGTCATTTTTATAGTAATACAGAATATGCACACAAACATGTATTTTTGAAACTATGCACTCATATTTTCAACTGAAAAATGTTGATTAACCCAATGATTTTGATTTTATGTGCATGATTTCATGACCTGATTTTTTTGCATATGTTACTAAATCTGTTTTCTTGATTATAAACCATAGAATGTAATAATATTGAATTTATTAATCCTCGTGACCTAAATTTTCAAAAACACCTAGAAGACAAGTTACCAAGGTTTCCAGAAGAGAACTGAAGAGTTTTAAAAGTTCATGTGGAAACTGTCCACAAACAATATGAAGGGATAGAAAAGTCCCCAAGCGGGCATAAGCTCAGGAATCTGTTTTCAGATCTTCAACCCTAAGATGTTGTCATGATTTAGTATTTTTCTCTGAACTGCAGTTTTCTCATCTGAAAAATGTAATTCTGTACTACTTTATAGAAATACATCTTCTAAATGACCTTCATGATTTTAAGAGTAATTGTGGCCCTATTTTTTCTCAATGTTTCGAACATGAAGTGTTCTCTAAAATTTATCTCTGAATTATGGGTGCCTTGGTTATTACAAAATGCCACTGCAAAAACTGCCACACTAGTTCTTCTGAAATATTGTCAGGGGCTGTGATCCTCACACTACTGCCTGGGCTATATAGTCTGCCAGCCTTGTAAGATGTTAGTGCACAGTAAGTTTTTTGGGGGTTTTTTTGGTACTAGGAATTGAACTCGGGTCCTTGTGCTTGTGCAGCAGGGGGCGAAACCACTGAGCTAAATCCCCGGCCCCAAATTTTTTTAGCATATGTCCAGTGCCTCTCACAGGACACACACCATTGCTTCTTCTGTTGGCTTTTTTTTGTTTTGTTTTGTTTTTTGGGTGCCAGGGATCAAACTCAGATCCTTGCACTTGCACAGCAGGTGGCGAAACCACTGAGCTAAATCTCCGGCCCCACAGTAAGTTCTTAAAAGATAATCTGAGCCAAGTCCTTTTGGATAACTGAACAGGAAGCCTTGAAAGACAGGCCTTGGCTAGGCTTATGAGCCAGGACCCACCCACAGTCATGCTGGTGGTAATGGAACCAGAGAAAAATGGCTGGTGGCTCCACAGCAGTGAGTTCAGACCTGGAAGTAGACGTTGTGCAAGGTCTATACCACCAGCCACTGCCAGTGCAGTGACAAAAGGCAAAGGCCCAGCTGCAGAAACAGATCAACATGGCAGTGTAGCAGCTCTGTTTCCTTGACTGGTAACGCCTGAGCTGGTGACAAGGCAACAGAGCCAACCTTTTCTACAGAACTACTGCAGGGACCAGTGGAACCATGACAGCTTCTGGATCTTCATGTAACAGGCGGCACTCCTCACGCAGCACCTGTTGCGTAACTTTCTTAAACAGTTGTTTTGTTTACATTGTCACTTCCTTAGGAAACCAGGAAAGTTGTGTGTGCTAAAATTTGACACCTGATCTCCACTGCCATCAGGAATTCTTTCACCACCTTCCTTTCCATTCACAAGAACACCTCTCTCCATTCCTAAAACTCCCTGTGAATGTACTTCTAGCTACTCAACAGGAAGAGAGAAATAGATATACCAAATACATTAGCTTTACTTTGCTTGTTCTGGACGGGAGGAGCAAGCAGCCCTGCATAGGTTGAATACTCAGAGCTTAGTCTGTCCCCATGCAGAGGCTTTCCTGCGAAAATCCAGCTGGGAATCCGGGCCTAAGCACAGTGGTCCAGTACTAACAACTGCTTCCTTCATGCCAGGCATAGCTCTAAGAGCTTTATATATTAACTCATTTCATCCATTTGGCAAATGAGGAAATTAGGCACAGATCAAAATAAGTACCATAATGTGCCCAAACTGACAGCGAGTAAATGGCCGACATAGGACTAGGATCCAGAAGTCCTGAATCCAGAGCCTGAACTCCTGAAACACTAAAACAGTTTTTCACACTGTAAGTTGAGAGCCACTAGTGGACATTGTTAAGTGTGTAGACCAAAGAGAAAAGTTATCAGTGTGCATCACAGGTTTCAAAACACTACTGTCCTGTAAAATTTGTTTAGGTACATAAACAGGCACACACAGGGCACACATGAAATTTACTCTTAAGATATGGTAAAGGAGTTGACCATGCTCTGCTTACTCTCACATAGTCCAACTCCACCTAGAGTCAGATATCCAGGATTTGAATCTCATTTCTTCCACTAGCTGTGTAACCCGTGCATCCACAGCTCAGCTACATCTTAAGAGGTGGACATGACAAGGACTGAAGAGTTAGCACATAAGGTATTCACCGGCATCTGGCCCACAGTCTGTTTTTGCTCTGCTTCCTGTATATACTGCCATCAGTCAAGTGCACATAATGTCCCTTTGACATCCTCTCCCACTGAAAAGTTTTCTCACTTGTTGTACAGCAGGGTGGGGGCCCACTCCTTTGAGAAGCCTGTGACAGTTTCTTCTGTCTGGTTTCACAGTCCAGAAGCAGAACAGTATTATTTAAAACAACAATGAAGGGGGCGCTGGGGATTTAGCTCAGTGGTTCCGCTGCCTGCCGCACAAGCGCAAGGTCCCGAGTTCTAGCCCCGGTACCAAAAAAACCAAAAAAACAATGAATATACTTTTAAAGTTATCTTTTAATTCAAGTCAAGCAACTCTTGATTTCTCAAGAAGAGCTAAGGAATTACCTACCTGAGTTCACTGTTGATTACATTCCAAAAGAAATTTTAGTGATATGAGGGGTAAAGGGAAGGACAACAAAAATGAGATCTAAAAAAGACAGCTCTGATGGTCTTTAAAGCCCTGAATCGCTCTCCCATGACAGTCAGCTCCCTTCACACCGGAGAGTGAATGCAAGCCTGAGGGAAGTGTGCAGCACCCCCACCATAGGAGCAGGCTGCTGAAGCTGCTGCAGCGGAGAGGCACATGTGCCACATGCTTCAGCTTTGCTGCCACTGTGCTCTTGCTGGACAACTGAAGAGAAGCAAGGGGAAGCAGAAAGCCAAGGACTCAGAATCACACCGTCTCACCTCCACCTGAAGCTGACTGCATTTAGTGTAAAATCTACACCCAACCATGGCCTGACACCGTCAGACCCTTGCTCTCCTTCCTTGCTGGAATACACGAAACTGTTTAAAGAAATGCAGAGCTGCACTTCTCGGCAAGTCATCAAGCTACGTCATACTGAAGATTTTTATCTGTTGATGGGCGAAAATTCTGTCGTTAACACACAATTGTAGTGCTAGGAGAAAGCTGGAGAATACTTAGACATAAATTTCAGAAAAAGTGAAAAATCCTGTTTCATCCCTATCGCCCATCCCTCTGGCCCTCAGAATTCCTTTTTAGAAATGATTCAAGAGTTCTATGAAAGCCGGGGATTTAGCTCAGTGGTTCTACAGCCTGCCTTGCAAGCTCAAGGTCCTGAGTTCGATCCCCTGTACCAGAAAAAAAAAAAAGAAAAAAAAAAAAAGAGTTCTATGAAAGATTCAACCCACTGCCCGGCCCACCAGAGATACAGGAACAATGAGTGGCCTGTACTGACCCCTAACTTCTGAGTACTTAAGTCAAGAGCCACCCTCATTACAGCCAACACACACAGGATGGAAAAACAGCTGGGCAGAGGCAGTGCAGTGCTGCAGTTCTGCATGAGCCCTGGGGTCAGGCCTGACCTCCCTACTTAGCAGTGTGTGATGCTAAGCAGGTAACTCCGCCTCCTTGTCCTTCATGTGCTCACTCAAATGGAGCTAACCCCTGTCTACATCATGGGACACCCATGAACATTAGCTGGAAGGACACAGGAACCACTCGGCAGAGCATGTGGAGCCCAGGAAATAAAATGTGCTTGTCAGTATCAGAAACATGACTCAGTTCCTCATTCTTGGCCAAACCACTTTAATTTACAACTTTAATGTACAATAGGAAGTCCATAATTTCTTGACATTCTCACCTTGCTCCTGTAAGAAAACAAAAGTAGAAAGCTTTAAGTACTTTTATATTTACTAATCCAGACCCATAGTTTTGTTTAACCAATTATTCAAAAATCTATTGAGCTCAGATCATGTGAGTAGACTTGTAGAGAAGAGAAGCAAAACCCTTTCTCTTAGTTTATATTTGTTGTCAAAATAATTAATTAATTAAAGGGCCAGGGATTTAGCTCAGCGGTGCCGCTGCCACCACTGCTGCCACCACTGCTGCCACCCTTACAAGTGCAAGGTCCCGAGTTTGATCCCCGGTACCAGAGGGGGAGAGAGAACTGGGTGTGGTGGTGCACGCCTGTAATCCCAGCACTTGGGAGGCTAAGGCAGGAGAATCTATGAGTTTGAGGCCAATGTAGGCTACATAGTGAATTCATGGCCAGCCTGAACTACATAGTGAGATCTTGTCTCAAAAAATCAACATCGAGCTGGGGATTTAGCTCAGTGGCACCGCGCCTGACTCTTGCAAGCACAAGATCCTGAGTTTGATCTCTGGTACCAAAAAAAAACCCAACATGGGCCGGGGATTTAGCTCAGCAGTTTCGCCGTGTGCTGCGCAAGCGCAAGGACCCGAGTTGGATCCCCGGTACCCAAAAAAAAAAAAAATCCCCAACATGTCAGGTGTGATGGCATGTGCCTGTAATTCTGGCACTTGTGAGGCTGAGGGGGCAGGCTCGCCAGGAGTTGGAGGTCATCCTGGGCTACATACTGGCCAGCCTGAACTACACAGACCCTGTCAAAAAAACCCACAACCAAAAGAAAAACTGTGAATGCGTGTGTAGGAAACCCTAAGAAATTTGTAGGAACACAGGAAGAGATTAGTGTTGGCAAACACATTAACATCAAAGGCCCAAGAGCCCTCTTAAGGGCTGGGACCTCTGACTCCATATGCTAAGATAAGAGACAAAGGAGGCTGTAGAACAGCCAATCCCCATGGCCATATTTTATCCCCCCCTCCAACTGCCTACAGACCCCAAAACTACTGTGATTTTGTCAATAAGTTGCTTCTAATTAAAATTATAATGGCAATCCTAACAGTATTACTTGATAGGGACACCTAACTATCATTTAATGCTTCCTGTATAAAAAGTTTCAAGGTGTTTGAGGGATTTGGGGAATTTTGTTTTGTTTTGTGATAGTCTTATTCTGTAATTCAGGCTGGCCTTGAACTCATTATGTTGCCCAGGCTGGCCTCGAACTCATGGTGACCCTCCTGCCTCAGCCTCCTAAGTGCTAGGATTACAGGCATGTTCCACCATGCTTGGCTAATTTTCAAGGTATTTTTGAACAACAGCAATTGTTATAATTAAAAATGTGTTAAATGAGAATGTCTTGGGAGGGAAAAAGGAAGGAACAAGAAATAAAGTGAAAATAGAAGGGAAAAAATGGAAACAAAGCTTTTGTACACAGGGAGGGGAGGGGGCTTAAGGGGGGAAATGAGATAAAATAAAATTTATTGGAAAAAAAAGGGCTGGGGATTTAGCTCAGTGGTGCCCTGCCTGCCTCACAAGCGCAAGGTCCTGAGTTTGATCCCTGGTAACGCAAATGAAAAAAGAAAAAAGAATGTCTTACCCCTGAGGTTTTGTGGAGAAAAGAAAACTTTCTAATACTTGCCTTTTAAAAGAAGAAAAGCTCTTGACTTCCTCACCTGGAAAATTAAAAGCCTATATATCCTTTCTTGTTTAAAGCATTAATTTCGTTAGAGTTGACTTCCACAGTGACACTCCACATGCTGGACGTTTCCATTAAGTACTGAGAGGAGAGGAGTCCTTGCCTTCTGCAGCTAATACTGTGGGAAGGTCCCAGCTGTCCTGGGCCTGGCACAGAACTGACAGAATCAGTCTTTCTGTTTTGTTTTCACGCTGTGGACTGAACCCAGGGCAGGCAGAATTGGTCTCAATATGACTTTGATTAAAGAATGAGACCCGAAAACTGTAACCTAACTTAGGAAAAACTAATTTTTAAAAATATTCAATGAAGGGCCGGGGATTTAGCTCAGTGGTTTCACCGCCTGCTGCGCAAGCGGCAAGAAGCCGAGTTCGATCCCTGGTACCAAAAAAAAAAAATTCAATGAAAAGGAAGATGAGATTAAAGGAAGAAGAGGACAGCACATATGAAAAATAAATGAAGATATAGTATGGCAGAAATTAGACACATAACGATTAATTGTGCTTCAGGCTGTTAGAATATGCAGTTTCCACAAGACGATCAGAGGTACAAAGTCAAAACAAACATTTATGACAAAAGGTAAATGAGACTTTAAAAATAGGAACTCAGAAGAAGAAAAGTAACAGGAACTCAGGACATACTTTCTTATAAGGAGGTGAGTCCATATTTTCAGTCTTCATCATCAGGAGGGATACCTAATTCTTCATCTGTCCACTGCGAAGGGTCTGGATATGTGAAGTGACCCTGGTGACAATCATTCAAAAGAAAGAATAAAGTCAGGAATCCATACTAGTTGCCATTAACTAAGTTGTGAATGAAATCATAAAGGAAAAAAAACCAGTAATAAAGTTAACTGCCATATATGCAGCCCCTAGGCTGGGCGTGGTGATGCACACCTATAATTCTGGCACTCAGGAGGCTGAGGCAGGAGGATCTCTGCAAGTACAAGGCCAGCCTGGGCTACACTGTGAGACCCTGCCTCAAAAATAAACAAACAAACAAACAAAACCATATATGCAGCCCCTGACACACCAGGGGAACAAACTCTCCTTTAACTATGTGATGGCCCAGCTCTTTAATCTGTAATTATGCATGGGGGCCATTTCCAGGTCCCAGCATAAGCCAATGGTATGTCTGTGATGGATAGCAGTGGGAAGTGAAGGCAACAGATTTCAGAGATACTCCACATCTCAGCAATGCCTTGAAGTCCTGGAAAAATACAAGTGTTTCATTCACCAGGCCTAGTGCTGCACACCTGTAGGCTGAGGCAGGAAGATCACTATGAGTTCAAGGCCAGCATGAACAGAGTGAGACCCTGTCTCAAAAAAAGCAAAAAAATTACAAGTGTTTCAGAGCTGGGTGTGGTGTGGAATACCTGTGATCCCAGCACTCTGGAGGCTGAGGCAGGAGGATCACTGAGAGTTTGAGGCCAGCCTAAATTACAGAGCAAGACCCTATCTCAATACTGTTTCAAATTCTCCTGTTGTTCCTGCTGTGAGGTGTGGGAGCCTCAGGTGAACACAAGCACCTTCAATCCTGGGCTAGAGGCAAAGCTGGGTACATCATAACCTGGTGCCTACAGCCACCTCTACTCCTGACAGCTGACCTATAGTCGAACCGGAGGTTCACAGACACCCAATCAGCCCCTTCTTGATACAAGGGAACAGAGGAGTTCTACGAGAAATGGGCAACCTGATGCTTCCAACACTTGTATAATGTTTAAATGGAAGATATTCTTCCTATCCTGAAAATTAAGCCCAAGTATACAAAAATCCAAAGTATTCTGGATTTCAATGTCTTTTCTGGTTATTGTTTTGTTCTGTTTTGTTTTTTGATGCTAGGGATTGAGATTCATGCAAGATTTCATGGAGGGTAAACACATACTCAACCACTGAGCCACACATCCAGCCCCAGAGTTGAGTGTCAAACCAGTCATTTCCTAGAGAACAGAGTCTATGCAAATACGATGGATGAAAGCTCCGCTGAGTCTAACTACATGCTAGAAAGTCAGCAATAACTAACTTCCCTCTCAACAGAGACTAACCCACATCTCTTCCACCCAACCCTGGCCACCCTGGTCCTCTGTGCAGAGTAGAGGACACCTGTCATTTAAAGAAACTGAAATGTGGAATATAGCCCAGAAATGAACTGTAATTAAAAGGTAAAAGAATTTCTAGTCTCCTTTCCAAATATGGCAATCTAACAGAAACCATGAGACACAGACCATCTCGATGAACATTATCATGTAAACTAGTTCAGGAGGCAACAAGTTGCATAAATAACAGGATTCTTGCACATACATATGGGCAATATGGTGATGAAGGGATGTACTCACACAGAAAAATGGTCCTCAAACAGAAAAATAAGCTACTACTTATTACTTACTGCCCCTGCTCCAAAAAGGAGGGGAATTACTCTCTCATACTTACCAACACAGCTTCCGAGTCATGCCAGAAGTGCCAGAGAATCCAGAACCACATGAATCCACTTAAGACCTCAGCCCGGATCACCTCATACCTGGTGGGCTGGGGAAACGCTCTGTAATAGGGCTGGGCATGCGCACCACCAGCAGCACTAGAAGACAGAACACAGTGGGAAACACTTGCTATATACTTTCTAAGTAGTAAGTCACCCAAAGCTTCTGAGTTTCATCTCTTCCACCAAAATACAGACTGATAAAGGTCCACAATCCTGTGGCATACTTTTTAGCTTGCTTTAAACAGAGCAGCAAAAATGTCAGCACTGACAGGCTAATTATGGTTTTCATTTAGTGAATATTCATTATTTTGCACCAGAAATGTGAATGCATTGATTATGGGGTGCTAGTCCCAAAAGTTTTGGTTAAGAGACTGTGAACCTGGAGTAAGTCACTAATTTATCCAGAAAAAATAAACTAATTTTGTCCTGTTTCGGAAACAACACACATCCTCTTCTCCTATTGCATTCTTTATTGAAAGACTACCACATAGGGAAAGAGGACTCACAAATCGTCATATGCTAATAGCTCCAAACAAGGCAAAGAACCTGAAACACTAAGTTTGAGTAAGGTTTCTGTTTTATTTTTTTCACTTAGATGCTTTTGACAAGTTGGGGCATATAATCCATAAAGGACTGTTTATTCATTGGATTATAATTATTATCGGTCGACTCTGACAACGTAATTTATATTTAATGAAGGTAAAAAATCCACTTCACCTCGGAGTGGTGGCTTATCCCTGTAGTCCTAGCACTCAGGAGGCTGAGGCAGGAGGATAGCTGCAAATTCAAGGCCAGCCTGAACTACACAGTGAGACTCTGTCTTAACAACAAAAAAATGAAATAGGGGCTGGGGATTTAGCTCAGTGGCATGGTGCCTGCCTCACAAGCACAAGGTCCTGAGTTCAATCCCTGGTACTGCAAAAAAAAAAAAGAAAACTAAAAGTGCTCTTCAGCAGCTATATATATGTTAATACACAGAAAAGTCTACAAAAACTTAATTCCTATATAAAATTTGTTCCCCAATTTCAGTCCAGGTAATAATCAGCTTACAATATTCTCTTGTACAACACTTTGCAAAAGTGCAGTAAAATTTCCTGTTTTCATAATATGCTATTGATTTTGTAATTTAGTTTGTTTTCGGTACTGGGAATTAAACTCAGGACCTTGTGCTTGCCCGGCAGGTGTGGCACCACCGAGCTACATCCTCGGCCCTTGTGGTGTTGATTTTGAACAGCAAAATTCCTATGGTTCTTGACACCTAGGACTGTTTTTATTATCTTCTCCCACTTTAAAAGATTATTAGCAGTTATCTGAGTGTTTATTATGTGACAGGTACCACACTAAACATTCTGTAACCATTACTGTATCTCATTTAATTTTCCTAGGGCTGGGGATTTAGCTCAGTGGCACTGTGACTGCCTTGCAAGCGCAAGGTCGAGTTCAATCCCCAGTTCCAAAAATAAAAATAAAATAAAATAAATCATTTAATTTTCCTAACAACCTTATGATTATAGGATCTATCTCAGGATCTGTAAGGTTGTTATGAGACAGATCCTAAAATTGTTCTACAAACTTAGACACCAGTACTGCTTGATGTCAAAGGCTAAGATCTTAACTATTACTACAAACACCATTAGTCATTTTTTTCATTTTCTGAATCAAATCTTGGGCTAGAGATATAGCTCAGTAGTAAAGCGCTTGCCTAGCATGCATAAAGCCCTGGGTTCCATCCCAAGCAACACTACATTTTTTACATTCTAGCCAAGTGCTCTGTCATTGAGCTACATTTCCCAGCCCTTGTAAAAAAAATTTTATTAGTGCCAATTACTTTGATAAAATATAGGGTTTCTATGTGTTTTCATACATACATACATATATTTCTTATCATACCCCCTCCCCCCTTTTGTTCTCCTTACACCCTCCCCACAACCCATCCTTTCCAAATTTTATTTTGAAACATAAGTTCATTGAGTTGCCCAGACTGGCCTTGAACTTGCGATCCTTCTGCCTCAGTTTCCCAAGAAGCTGAGATTACAACCATGGACCACCAACCTTGGCAGGATACAACTCTGAATTGGAATTTCAATCAGCAAGATAAAATTCTTACCATACAACTGATTCCATTTTTGTATGAATATTTACCCAATATATGTAACACTTACTTGGAAAGCTCTATGTAAAGTCTTAATAATTAGTTATGGATGGTCTAAGAGGTTATTTTCCTGTACGGTTATGTGTGGATACACTATACATATTTTTTTCACATACTGTTTCTATAATGGTCTCATATACCAATTATACTTAATAGTATTTACTCAGGATCTATCTGCATATATTGCATTTTGTAAACATCATGTGGAACAATTCATATTGTAACAACAAATTTCTTCCTTGATAATAAAAACAGTCCTAGGTAATGTGTCAAGAAGCATAGGAATTTTGCTGTTCAAACCTAGGAACATGGATGTATCAATAAAACTCATTAAAATAATGCTAGGATTATAGTTCAACCCATCCTAGCAACTCTCCACGTTTCTTTTATTGCTAGAATGATATTTTTTAACCATAAATTAAAATAGTCACTGACTGCAAAGTAGAAATCTTTTTGAACAATGATTCCAAAGTGCTCTATTTTAGAAAAGAACCCATGGCATAACAACTGTCACGATTAAGGGATGCAAAAATTCAACAAACACCTAAATGACTGTGTTATGATCTGAACCATGTTAGCTGTACTGTGGCAACTAAATACCCTGGGCAATCTTTCAAAGCTTAAAAAAAAGGTATTTTTAAAAATTTGTTTTCCAAATATCACCCACCTGCTACAAAAATAAGGTCTCTACCAAAAGCACAATGCAAGTAAAAACAAAGCCTGCGCCTGGTGATGCAGCTTAGTGGAAGAGCACTAGCCTAGTGGGCCCTGGAGCCCCTAGTCGATCCTCTGCACTCCGAAACCGCGGATAGGGGCTGGGAATATGGCAAAGGACAAGTTTAAGGCTGGAGATGTTGCTCAGTGGTAAAGCATCTGCGGAGTGTGGGCGAGTTTGATCTCCAGCGCCGCAGGCGAGGAGGAGAAAAAGCGTGAGAACCAAGCTAGCGCAGAAGCTGGGAGTCATCAGGAGTCCCTGAACTTTCACCCTGACAGCTACAAAAGGCTCTTGGGCCAGGAGACGTGTACTGGAAAGGGTCTAATTATCAGAACCCTGAGTATAGCTGCAGCCCCATAGTAAAAGGATGAATGAGAAACCTTGGGGAAGGAAACCGGAATTAGTTGCCGGAAGCCAGTCAAGTAGGTTTGCACCCAAATTCACACTACGTGGGTTGGACCTTTGTGGTCCAAAAACCCCACCCAAGAATTTAAAGTGATCTTTGGTTGGTGGCGCCCTCAGGCTACGAGAAGCAAGACCTCAAAGAATCCAACAGATAAAAAGTTCCAAGGAAAACTATCTCACAAAAAATAAGACACTCTTGAGTCTCGTAGGAAAAAAACAAAATAGGAAAGGGCCGGGGATTTAGCTCAGTGGCGCCGCTCCTGCCTCGCAAGCGCAAGGTCTTGACTTCGAAGCCTGGTACGGGGGCGGGGGGGGGGGGACACAATATGCAAAGAAATAACGGCTATTCCAACCTAGGATTTTTGAGTATCAAGTCTAAAAAAAAAAAAACAGACGGTATTACTTTCCTGCTTTGAGGGCTCCACTGGCTGCCTATGCTTCTTTGGTAAAATCCTACTCGTCTCTGAGCTCGTCACCACCTTCCCACACCACCCCAGGTTCCACTTCCCATCCGGACGGACCACAAAACCCAGCATGCCTCGCGCTGAGCCCACACAGGGACGCGCCTCTCCCGGCTCCGGCCTCAAGGTGAGCGCGTCCGAGCGCGGGCCTTCCGCCAGAGCCCTCGCCAACACCCCAACTCACTGACGGACTCCACTGCCTCCCGCTGCCCGCGCTCGGTAACCTCGAAAGAGGCGGCCTCCGACGCGCGAGAAAGGCACCAGCCAGGTCAGAGCTGACATACTCCCGGCGTCCGACCCCTGTCCCAGGCCACCCCGCCCCGCTGATATCACTCGTCGGCGCCGCGCGTGTCGTGACGTTAATACGCCGCCCATCTCCAAGGAGGTGGCGCAGGCGCGTTAGACCTCTTCTAGGGGTGGTTGGCGAGGGCCGCGTGGCCGAACGACTTCTCTTTGGCGGTTGTTTGAAGGCTCCCGAAGGGAGGCAGAGTCCGACCTAGGGCCCGCCTCGTCACTCGGTTTGGCGAGGAGTGCCTCTTCCTTGTTACGCCTGAGCCGAGAAACTTCCAACACTAACTCTGAGCTTCGGTTGATCGAGATGTTTTCTAATGTGCACCAGCCATGCTGTCTGCCCCTCCTATAGTAATGACCTTCTGGACCCTCGTGGCCAGCGCCAAATCCTTTCGGAACCTGTTTTTAAAAATCCCTAAATTCTTTATTCAAAAATACCACGAAAAATGCCATCCACACACGTGGAGCGGTCAGCCTCACACGCTGCCGCGTCCATGAGGAGTCCACACGGCCACTGGCCTGCACCCCCGCAAGCTTGGGGGACGCCGTGGCCACCGCACCCAGGGTCCGTGGAATGTCCAGGCAACCCACGAACGTCATGAGCAGGTGTGTGTCATCGAGATAGCGCCTGACTCCAAGGTTGGCCATGGGGGCTGCTGTGTCACCAACACACGTGTCTGAGGAATAAATAAAGCCTTTTCTTCCATGCAAGGTCGGCACTCCCACGGAAGAGAGCGTGGTGGTGGATGTTCCTGTAAGGGTCCCCTCAGGCCAGGGGATGTCACAGCGGCTCCAGGTCTTGTCGCACATGTGTAGTCCTACAGGTCCACATCCCCCAGTGGAGATGGTTCCTCAAAGAAGGGCCTTCGGGCCAGCATGTACCGCTGTCCTTCCAGCTTCTGGTCCACAGGGCTCAGCTCCACCTCGTACCCAGCATCCCAGGGCTGGCCTGCAGCCTCCTGGGCCACCAGGATTTATTTCTCAGCAGCAAACCTCTCCCAGTCAGAAAGCTGTGGACCCTCATGGTTTTTCTCCCTGAGCAGGGACGCCTGTTCCCTCTGCCCGTGATCCAGGTACTTCTCGATGTTGAAGAAGACTAAGAAGATGCTGGCCATCTTGCACTGCTTCAGGCTGTACAGTGTGATCCTCCCTGGACACTGTGGCTTGACAGGGTCCACCCTCTGGCACAGGCCATCCTGGAAGGGCAGCACTTTGATGCTCAGGCTGTCTAGCTACCCACACTTCTCCCCATGGAAGAACTCCACTCAGATGTGGACAACACCCAGTCCCCATCCAAGTCCATGCAGCAGAACCAGTACTTGATGCTAGTCAGGGTTTTCTTGGCCTCTTCAGAGACGAAAAACAGATTAAGTCGGTGTAGCTGATCTTCCTCTCCTTCTATACCTTCCTCCCTCATGTCAGAGCTCCTGAGAAGATCCTATCAATAACCTTGTCATGTACCAAAAAAAAAAAGATAAAAATAAAAAATAACCTTGTCAGAAATGGTTGTGCCCAGCCAAGTCCTGCATGTCAATGAAGAGGTGGTGGTCAGTGTTGAGCTCCCAGAACTTGCAGTAGATGAAATAGAAGTGCTGGTAAGAAAAGAACTCTGACAGCTGGTTAGTGTCCACTTCCTCTTCCAGCCATGTTCTGCAGGAAATTCCTCCTCTGCAGCTCTGTGAATGTGATCCTTCTGGACCAGGACCTGTTGATCTGTGGTGATGTAGCAGGGGTGAACTCAAGAGACCTCCTTCAGGAAGGATAGGCCCAGGTGTGTGTTCACCATATCCTGCAGGAAGGGCACAAAGTCCTGCACCAAATAGTTGCAGCCAGGACTCGAGCAGATGCACAAACCTGGCCATGAACTTGTGGGCAGACACAGAGCCAGTGCACTTTCAAAAAGTTAATTCCTTGTACTCTTCTGTCCGCCAAGAGGCTCACAGCCATATTGTTAGCCTTGTTTCAGTGGTGATCTGCGAACCGATACTAAACAGCAGCCAGTGGTTCTCAGATATCAGCCATGGACTGGTGGAATTAAAATCACCTGAGAAACCCAACCCCCAGCTACTCAAATTAAGTCCGGGGAGGGCCACAGTCTGCCTTGAGAAGGCTCTTAACACCTTGATCCTTATCCAGCCCTGGATTCTTGGCCTTTGTCTCTTCATATCACCTTCTAGTCAATCCTGCATTGTCTCCAGCCCTCTCTGAACCACCCCCTCCAAATTTGTAGGTCTCCCATGATGAGTTGTAGTTGTTCTCAGAATCTCTAGGTTTAGTTAAATTATACATTTAGCCTTCCTCCTAGGCGGGGTGGTGCATGCCTATAATCCCAGCACTAGGGAGGGTGAGGGAGGAGGATCGCCACAAGTTCAAGGCCAGCCTGAACTGCATAGCGAGACCCAGTCTCATAAAATAAATAAATTTAGCCTGCCAGCCAGACATGATGGTGTATACCTGTAATCCCACCAGGAGGATCACCATGAGTTTGAGGCCAGCCTGAACTCCATAGACCCTGTCTCAAAAAGAAACCAAAGTTTTTTTAAAAATAAACTTAGTGGGGCCAGGGATTTAGCTCAGTGGTTTCGCTGCCTGCTGCGCAAGCACAAGGACCCAAGTTCGATCCCCGGTACCAAAAATAAATAAACTTAGTGGGCCGGGTATTTAGCTCAGTGGTTCCACTGCCTGCCTCACAAGCGCAAGGACTGGAGCAATCCCTGGTACCAAATAAATAAATAAATAAAAATAAACTTAGCCTGCCAGTCTCAGACCTTGGAGACCTCACTTTCTTTTTTTTCTTTTTCTTTTTTTTGGTACCCAGGGCCTCATGCTTGTCAGGCAAGTGCTGCGCCACTGAGCAACATCCCTGGCCCACTTTGAAATGGATCTACATGCTCAGTTTCATGGTCTTGCACACTGAAGACCACACTCACAGTCACAAGAATGAGAAAAAGGATACTGGTGAAGAGAAGTGTAGACCTGAGTTTAGGGATTTGACCTCACTGAATATGACTGAAGATACTATTCCTTTTATGCCAAGAGATGAGGCTCCACGTGCCCTTTATGTGACATGGGACAGAAGTTAAACCTACATAAATCCCATGACTGCTGAGCTGCCACAGACCCTTGTGAACAGCCTAGGATTGATGCCCTGATGCTGTAGGATTCTCTGCCCTTGTAATTTCTAAGTGGTGCTTAAATTAGGAGATGGCACCTGCTATTTTCTGGATGAAAGTTCACTTTCCTGTTTATAGGCAACAGAGTGGCCTTCTCTGGGCACTAGTCACTGGTGACGTACAGACCTGTAAGGAAGCCCATGAACTGGGAAGACAGGGGTTGTTAGTCCTTGCTGCAAAGCTCACTGTCCAAGTGACACAGCTGCCTGGCTCCTGAAGAAAAAGGCTGTGATCCAAGGCCACAGAACAAAGCTTGGATAAGAAAGAACACAGAAAGCCAGGTGTGGTGGTATGTACTTGTAATCCCAGCACTTGGGAGGCTGAAGTAGGAGGATTGCCCCAAGTTCAAGGCCAGCCTGGACTACATAGTGAGACCCTGACTTTAAAAAGGTTGGTGGGGGGACAAACAATTTGAGTTTGAAGATCTGGAGTTCAAACTTTACTTTGCCATTTAACTATGAATTTGGACAAATCACTTTACCCCTCATCTGACTGCGAGTCATTTAAAATGGGAGGCTGAGGCAGGATTACAAGTTGGAGTTCAGTCTAAGCAACATATCTACTTAGAATGGCCCGGGATTTAGCTCAGTGTTTCCACCTCCTGCCTTTCAAGCGCAATATCCCAAGTTCGATCCCGGTACCAAATAATAATAATAATAATGTTTGGGCTGGGGATTTAGCTCTGTGGTTCCAGTGTCTGCCTTGCAAGCACAAGGTCCTGAGTTCAATCCCCGGTACCCCCCCCAAAAAAACCCCATCTACTTAGAGCCTGTCTCAAAAAGGAGGTGCAATGTATCTCAGTACAACAGCCCTGGTTCTATCCCCAGTGCTCACACTCACACAAAGATACTATCCAGCCCACAGCATGTACTCAGGAAATTTTTATTACTTCATTTTTCTTTCCTTCCTTTCCTAATAGTAAAGTAATTCAGGTGAACCCAAATTTGTTCTTCCTCCCCATGTACTAAATTACCAAAACAAAAATCTCAACTTACTGCTTGCTGTTTCAAAAGTAATGTTGATCTATATAGATAATTTGTGAGTCCTTGGCTTTAATGTTTTGCATCACACATTCTGGTTTTTTACTATAAAGAAGATTATGGTCTCAAACTGTCAGCAATACAGAAGTGAAGCATAGCTGTTCTCTAGATGTGTTCTATGAACTGCAAGGTCAGATAGCCCTCCCTGGCCCTCCATGCTCCATGGGGCTGTGTTTGAGTTCTCAGATGAGCACCGTTTGAGTGGCTGCATTTCAAAAGGTGACCAAGGGCTGCCAAGCCCTGCAATGCAAATCAGATTCCCAGTGTGACTGTAACATACCTGACACCAGACTCCGTGACTTAACATCCAGGTCTAATCCCTGACCACAAAGCTACTCCAGAGCTGGGAACAAAGGAAACCCAGGGGTGGGGCATGATGGTGCACATCTGTCATCCCTCAGGAGGCTGAGGCAGGAAGATCACAGAGTTTGAGGTCAGCCTGGACTACATAGTGAGAACTTGTCTTAAAAAAAAACAGGAATAGGGCCAGCCAGGGATTTAGCTCAGTGGTTCATGTCTGCCACGCAAGGTCTGGAGTTCAATCCCCTCCCGAGTTCAATCCCCGATACCAAAAAAAAAAAAAAACGAGATAAGGAGAAAAAAAAGGTGACAAAGCTCATGTTTGGAAAGAAGAAAGGAAGTTGTGGCTTGAGCAACACCAGGCAAACCCTGCGCTTTCTGCTGGGGAGGGGACTCAGTCATGATCTCTCTCTAGGAGGTGCTGCACTCCCACACTACCTGCTCCTACCCAAGGAAGCAGCCTTTCTCCTTAAAAGATGTGTGATGAGTCAAATTCAGTTTTGAAGATATTGAGGCTCAACTTCAAGCCCACCCTGGACAACTTAGCAACTTAGAGAGACCTTGTCTCAAAATACAATACAGGACAAAAAAAAACCAAGGCCAGGGATGTAACTCAGTGCAAAGGCCCTTGGTTCAGTCCCCAGTACCACAAACCAAAAACTTAACTAAAACTTTTTTTTAATAAAGTTTTAAAATTTTTTAAAGGCCAGAGCTGGGTATGTTGGCTAATCATGAATGTTGTAGGATCATGAATTTGAGCCCAGCCTGGGCAATTTAGCAACTTAATGAGACCCTGTCTCAAAAACTTTTTTTTGTTGTTACCAGGGATTGAACTCGGGACTTCCTGCTTGCAAGGCACGCGGCAGAACCACTGAGCTAAATCCCCCAGCCCACAAAAACTTTAACACTTGGCTTGGTGGCTCATCCCTATAATCCCAGTGCTTGAGAGGCTGAGGCAGGAGGATTGCCATGAGTTCGAGGCCAGTGTGGACTACACAGTGAGACCCTATCTCAAAAAACTTTTAAAAAAAATTTTTAAAGGACTGGAGATATAGCTTAGTGTGATGGCCCTGGGGTCAATCCTCAGTACACAAAGAAAAAAATTTGAAGTACCCTAAGTGTTTTTTGTTTTTTGGTGCCGGGGATTGAACTCGGGTCCTTGTACTTGTGAGGCAAGCAGCAGAACCACTGAGCTAAATCCCCGGCCCTAACCTAAGTGTTTTAAATTGAAGATTTTTATTTTAAGATACTGTTTTTAAAACAGGACAGTTGCCTATCTGAAAGTACACCTGTTACTGCTTTGCTCCTCTTCAGCACTGCCAACTTCGCTTTCCTGGCTGCAGGATCCACTCCTGGCGATCAGAGACCCTTGGTCCAGCAGCCTGGCATCAGACCCACCCAGTGGGACCTTGTGATGCCAGAGGATCCCAAGGGGCCACACCCGGATTCCTGCCTCGTAGAAAGTGCAGTGACATCTTGGCATGGTTCATAGAGGGTGGCAGAACATACACCACAGATGGATTCTGTGAACCTGATTCAAGGAAAGGCAGGTGAAGGAGGCACCTGCTGTTTGTGCCGACCCAGGGTGAGTGGATGTGGGCCTGGCACAGGGATCACCTCCCTGGCTGGCAGCCCCTCCAGGCCACTCAGAGCCACCCTTGCCTGCTCAGAAGCCCCCCTGGGTACACGGGAAGTAAACAGCATGTCTAAGCAGTGAATGGTCACACACCTGTGGTCTCAGCAGGCAGAGGCAGAAGAAGCACTGCAAGTTCAAGGCCAGCCTGAACCACATTATTCTCTCAAAATACAATAATTAAATAACCACTCTACAGGTGGACCCCACACCCTCACGTCCACGTCAGCTGAGCATCACACTGGCTCTGACAGTCCAGACAGGGACTACCACAGGGCAGGCAGTGGCCATCACCCATTTGTTCACTTCCAGTCACTCCAGGGGACCGCTGCAGACAACAAGACCTTGGTGAGAAGGGCACAGCAATACACTGTACATTGACAGTAACGAGAACAAACCCTCACAGACAGATACACTGAATGTCCTGCAGAGAAACTACCATCTAAGCCAGTGCACAGGCACAGGGACACAGCCACCCATGCCTGTAACTGCAGCACTGGGGCAGGCTGAGGCATGAGGACCGCCATGAGTCTGAGGCCAGCCTTGTAGCAAAACCTTGTTTCAAAAAAATATTTTTAAGGGGGGCTGAGGGTGGTAGAGCACCACTGGGTTTGATCTCCAGTACTACAAAAAAAAAAAAAAAAGGGCAGAACAATTCTGTTCCTGCTCTTAGTTGTCAGCCACATTAACCACTGTTTCTTTTGTTCTTGTTTTGTTTTTGTTTGTTTGTTTGCAGGGCTGGGGATTGAACCCAAGGGCTTGTGTGGGCTAGGTCAGGGTTCTACCACTGAGCCACCTCCCCAGCCCCACTATCACCTTTTATTTTACCTTGCAAAAAAGTCTAGCAAGAACTCAACCAAAAATGTTAAAAATTGTCAAGATAATTCAAAGTGCAGTGAAGTTTGCCCTAATTTTATATTGTGCCCTGAGTGATGTTACTAGTGGTAGCACCTATATAAAAAGTGTAAATGTGTGTGCATGTGTTTTCAATGTTTTTTTTTTTTTTTTGGTATCGGGGATCGAACTCAGGACCTTGCGTTTGCAAGGCAGGTGGCAGCACCACTGAGCTAAATCCCTGGCCCTGTTTTCAACTTTTTACCAATAAGAATATACAATTTTGGCCTGGGGATTTAGCTCAGTGCTTCTGGCACCTGCCTCGAAAGCACAAGGTCCTGAGTTCGATCCCCTGTACCAAAAAAAAAAGAATACACAATTTTTTTGGAAGGTCCGGCATGGTGTGGCATACAAGTAATCCCAGCACTTGGGAGGCTGAGGCAGATCACTGCAAGGTCAAGGCCAGCCTGAACTACACAGTGAGACCCTGTGTCAAAAAAAAAAAAAATTTTTTAAATACAATTTAAAAAATAGGGGCAGGGCATGGTAGCACATTTCTGTAATCCCACTATTACAGATAGGCAAGTCAGGCAGAAGACACAG